TGTGCAATTATCTTATGTTTTTTTAAGTGAAAATAGATCAGTATGTACACACACACACACCAAATTTGTTCAATTTTTTGACTTGTTATTTTGGTTTTGTGTAGTGACCGTCTTGAAATTTTGCCATTGCGCCAGAAAAGAATTGCTAAAAATTCAAGGCACCCAACTGTAAACTTTTACCTTTTGTTTTAATTATGTTTTATTGCATTATGTTTTGGATGCCATTTTACTGGGGAGAGTGTTGGATGTAAACAGGAATGATAGTAAAAAATTGCCAATTTTTGTAAAGGGACACCCTGAAATATATTTTTACCCTGTAAAACCATCCGTTAATAAGTATTAATGAGAGACTAGGGTTTAGGTTGGCAAATGCTGGCTAGTGAAAATGCTTAAGTTAGTGCTAGATAAAGTGCAGTAACTACGGAGACTTGTAGTATTTTGATTTTAATTGATTGCCTTATGAATTTGTTTTTGGTATTAGGAAGCATGGAAGAATTATTTGCTTGAAATAGGCTCCAAAACTGTTCTATTTCCCTCAATATTGTTGTGTTTTTTTTCTGACACCAGTTGTTACATTATTTTCTTCCTTCACGTTCGTACGGGGTTCATGTGGATTTGGAGTGAATAATGACGACACTTGATGAAGTATTGAAACACACTTTACTTACCAATATTTTAATAAGGACAGCTCCAAAATACTTATTCAGTCTGTCAAGATCTACAGTAAACACGCTGGAACAATCAGCGACACAGCCTTCACACTGTCAGGCAATAACGGTGGAGACAGCTTCACTTCACAAGCACCAGAGTATAGCTCCCGACTCTGCTCGGTCATTCTTGAAACTTCACGTACTTTCGAGACTCTCCACGCTACAACTCACAATGTACTCGATGACACACAGAGCACAGCTCCCGACATTTCGGTTCAGTCATTCCTGGAGCTTAACACACTCTCTCGACGATGCACTAAGAGACTCCTTTGGTCACTCGACGACCCACTCGGCACTCACTGCCCTGCTGTCAACTGGATTGACTCTCTAGATGAGACACCAACTCGATACGAACTAACTCGCACACCAGACGAGGCACTCTGACTCGCCCTCTCGATGAAGCACACTCTGACCTCGGACTAGCAGGGTTTATATAGCTTTCGGCTTGTGTTCGAGAACATTCTGGGCTAAACCGGTAAGAATTCGTTCCAGAAGGTTCTCCATCCGTCCATGGCATATCGCCAATTTCGTCGCCAAATGGGGCAACCCTGCCTTCCCTTACCATTTTATGGCAACCCTGAAACTGCTTTGCGGGGAAGCCATGTTATCGCGCCTGTACATTTCGTAACAATATGTAATAAATACAAGAGGATTTCAGAGTTCAGTATACATTAATTCAATTCTGTATGGTGTGTATGCTATGCAATTTTCTGAAGGATTTGTTAAATATATCAGTGGCTTAACATTTATAATATCTTAAATTGGTTCAGATTGTTAGCTCGGATGTTTTTGGATACTGTCTATCAAGTCATGTAGTGGAAATCAGATGGCACATTCTTACACTGGTCATCAAAATTAAAGGATAATGAGAAAAATATGCTCACTGAGTTAATGTTACAACCAATGCCTAGATCTGTATTTATTTATGTTAACTGAATACAATTGAACCAAAATTGCACTTTCATGCATATATTATTGCCAGAAATATGCAAATTGGGCAACTGACAATGTGGTGCGTGAGACAGATGGGCTGGAATTCCAGTCAGTAGTGTTGTTTAAAGTGAATCTGTTTTCTGAGGGTGATCAGTATTCAGTATGGTTCAAAGGCATGATTTAGGTGAAGATCAAAAGTGGCAAATAATTGATAGAATTGAGGGAGGTCAAACAAAAATGGAAGAGGCTCAGGATTTGAATATCGTCCTCAAGTGTCATATCAAGAGTTTGAAGCTGATCTTTAAGCACTGAATAGATTGGTAGACAGTCTGTTCAAGGACGACCAAGATCAACAGCTGCATCAGAAGTCTGTTTCCGGTCATTGTAGGCTCAAAGAAACCACGGAACGACTCTAAGAGATTTGGTTTTAAACCTTCAGGTTGCTACAGGAACTCAAACTAGCCTTTCTGATGCTGCACAAAGGCTTAACAAGGTTGAACTGTATGCGAGAAAACTAGTGGTTTATGACCTACACAATCCAGCTTCCAAAGAGGCCCGTTTAAACTGGTGCCTTTTTCATGTTCATTGGAGCCAAGATGATTGGGCCCGAGTATTGTGAACTGATGAATTCTGATATAGTTTGAACACCGGTTCTAGATGTGGTTTGATCTGGAGAAAGGAAGGAACACACATCTTGCTTTCCCTTGTCCGTGAAATATCTGTTTCCGCGACCTCAGGTTAATGGTTTGGGGAGGAATCATGACAAATGGCCACACCAAACTGCATATCTTTCGAGGAAGGTATGTAACTGCTTGGTGATATGTGGGCAAGGTAGTGGAACTCCAAGTTAGACTGCTGTGGAGTGCTACTGCCCATAGTTTTTGCTAATGGATGAGTGTGTGGCCTCATTGAGTATACATGGTGTCAGGATACTTGCAAACAGAAGATTTCATTCGAATGAATTGGCCATCTTACTTACCTAACTTGAGACCTGATTGAGAATGTATAGGATGCCCTAGCATGCTGAGTTTCAGTGTCCAAATTCCTCTGTGGACCCTCCAGTCACATGCAGTTCAACAAGACTTGATCAATACTTTAGTAAAGTCTATGAAATCAAGATATGAGGTATGCGTACCTGTCCGAGGTGACCATACACCATATTAAAGAAAATGTTTTTCATAAGAGGTGACTTAATTCTTCCATCATTCTCCAGTTTCCATAAATTTGATTTTATTTCCAATATTTTGCAAGTAATCAACTCCTAAACATTGTAATTTACGTTAACTAATGCTTTTCTATAAATTTCTATTAATAATTTTTCATGAATTATCAGTTCTATTTTATTTCTTTAATTCTCCTTTAATTTTGATGACCAATGTTAATTCCAAGAATATCAAATTGCAATGTATTTCATTGAATTCTGAAAGCTGTCTTTACGTGACATTGCAATACTATTTCATTGTGCCATCTTAGCATATAAAAGTTTTCATAACTATATTTATAATAAAGTAGGGAAATATTTATTAACTTGTATTTAAAATCTGTAAATATTTTGATAAGTTTTAATTGTATGTTAGTATCATTATAGCCTTTTATATAAGAATTATTTCAATAATTTTCCCAATGATAATTTTTATTTTAGATTCATGTAATAGGATGTTGTGCATTATGTAAGGTTCCATGGTCAGATCTTTAGTATAATACTTTTCATAAAAGATACGAATCTTTAGAATTCATCATTTTATGAAAATACAAGTATTGATTATAAATGGCAGAAAATATATAAATTTTATGTTTATGTAAATAAGAAAAAAGTTCAGTGTTTTAGAAAAGTTATATAAATGCTTTCAAAATTTAAATTGCAGAAAGCAGAGTTAAATTAATATTTCAGAATTTAAGTATGCATTTTTTTGTTAGATGAATTATATCAAAATGTTGTTTGCTTGTTGGGAGAAATAATTTCAAAAAGAGATCTGTGGAATCATTAGGATTTTTTTTCTAAGCAGGAGACTGGAAAAATGTGCAGTGCCCTTATAGGGACTCAAACCTTGGAGCTCTCAAATACGCATCGAGTATGCTTCTAGTTATGCCACAAGGGCATGCATAAAGGAGGGAGAAGATGCTTTATATACTTCCCATTTTAAAGGATGGCTGGGAATTAGGAGTCATTAGTTTTTTTTTTTTTTTTTTTTTTTTTTTTTTTTTAAAGCAGGAGATGTGAAAGTGTGCAATGCCCTTGTCGGGACTCGATCCCTGGATATCTCGAATACGTGCCAAGTATGCTTCCAATTACACCTCAAAGGCATGTGGGAAGAGAGAGAAAATACTTCATAAGTTGTAAGTGAAAGATTTTCCATAGAAAAATTTTAACAAAATAAATAAAATAAAGTCTGGATAAAAATGTTCAGATTTAAAATAAACTTTTTAAAGTATATTACTGTATTGAGTGTAGGGAATTTCTTCCCCTTTTAAATGTCTTTTTAAAAATTATATCTATCTTGTATGGAATGTATAATATTTAAAAAAATATACTGAGATAGTTTTTTACATTTTTATTTCTACTCTTCCTTAATTTTTACATAAGAAAATGTTTTTACGTAGATTTACATTTAAGTATGTATTTAGGCGATTTAATAAACTTTCTTATGCCCAGCTATCCTCACCATTGTGTAGAAGAGAAGTATGTACATTGGAAATTTAAGTGAAATACAGGGTATTTTTGCTGCCTGAAGAAAAAAGCTCTTTTGTCAGACAATCTTGAAATGTATTGCTTTTCTCTATAAAGAATAGCAAATTAATTTTGCATAAATGTAGCTTGTATTATTAATTAATTTTTAATTCTGTTTTGTATGAAGTATATCAATTAATGAAGCTGGTTTATTTTTCTTTTAAAGTATGATAAAACATGGATAGTAATCTTGAATGTAAAGTTATTATTGCATACATTGTTGTTACATATAAATTAAAAGTAAATTTTAGCATAATGTTGATTACCAGATTCAGAAAATTATTATGTATAATTATTCGCAGTTGTATTGTTGGTTGAAAAATAATCCTTTCATATTTGTAAACCATTCTTTGATTTAGTGGTTAGGAAATAATGCAAGCAAAGTAATTTGCTGGCTAAATTAGAAATTTTATTCATTTCTTATGACTTAATTATTTGATATTTTACATGAAATTTGAATGCATCTTTCTTATTTATTATTTTTCACTTTTTTTTAAGACTTTTTTACTATATTTTAATGCGTGATTTGATTTTCACTATATTTAAATAGTATATTTGCTCTGTAAAAAATATTTTCCTTTTTCTTGACATTTTATGTTTATGAATCTCTTTTTCTTTCTTTTCTGAAGAAATCGGTTTCTTTTCACTGTACAGTTCAAGTTTAATTACAGACTTTAAACAGAGTGAATGGTTGAAGTTTTATCATCTGTAGAAATAAATAAAAATGGCAAGGTATTGTGAATAGTTATAATTTTCTCCAAAACTACTGTACTCTTTCTTCTGTATTGAGACTTAGTGTTAAATTGTCTCAAATTTAATTGATATTTTTCTAAAAATTATTACAGGCAAAAAAAATTCTAATATGATGTCTTTGAATAGCAATAAAAGAAAAGGCAGAACAAATGCAAATAGGTTAGTAACTTTTTAAATTGTTTTTTAAAGAATTATTTTGTGGTTATTATTATTTATAGGTTAAAGAAGCTGAAAAAGTTTTAAAAATCTTTTTTCAGTTTTCAGATGTTAAAATATCACATTAATATTCTTTACCAAAAAATTAGAGAATATTTTTTTAAGTTTTGTCAAAATGAAAATAATTACATGTGAGATGTTCTTAAAGTCCTTAATGATTTTAAAAAATTTATTTTACATTACCTACATACTGCAACAAAATCTATCCAAATACAACTCCGCAAGTGTCTGTCTATTCAACATTCACTCGAGCATTTTCAGCAGTTTATAATGCATATGTTTTGATTCAAGCAATTATAATATGACTAGGTAGTTATTTTGGCCTAAAATCTATTATTGCAAACTATGAGTTCATGGATGTCTTTTCAAATAATACTTTGTATGAGCAGGAGAAATTGCCAATTTATTGTAATCAGTAAAATCTAAAATAAATATATGTAAAGAGCTAAAGGAATATGTGGATATTGGGGGTAAATCCTCTTCAGCACATAAGAAATATCGTGAATCACTAATATTATTGTAAACTAGTATTATTGCTAGCAAATTCTGTGGTGCAATTTGGCTAGCTCTCTTTGAATTGCAGTCTCACAGACCTGAATAATTCTCGATTCCTCCAGGAACTATAGTTATATTGTGTTGCATGGATTTCCGGAAGCTTTTGGGAAAAAATTACTCTTGGAGCTTCAAAAATGCATTTTTCTGAAATTCCAGTTGTCAAACTGAAAGAAAGTTTCTAAATATCACCAGCTTGGCAATAGAAATTGTTCCCAAGGTCCATTGGGAGAGTTTTTGCCTATATATCATGTTCTGGGTAGGTTGTTTTAACAATTTAAACATTATTGGATTCCAGATTGGAAGATCTACTATATACAAGAAATATATAATATATATATATATATAATGTGTAGCCACAAATTTAATTGTAAAACACTATCTTCATCAACATAGAGTTGTAAACTTGGTAATTTAGAATTGTCCAAACCAGAGAATTCCCTTTGAATTAGCTGTAATAACTTGTTTTCATCTGTTATATATTCCTGGCAAGACAAATCACCATAGATATGTTGATCTTTTGGAATTTGATTATTCTTCTTGAATAGCATTATCTAAGCCAACATACGTGCTTTGCATATGTAGTTAAAAAAAATTGATAATGGCAGTTTATATTTTCCAGTTGAATATGAATTAATGAAGAGACTTCTTGCTTATGTGTTTGACTGTTGGATTTTGGCTGCGATTCCATACATTCTTTTAACCACTGTGGGCCTTCCCACCATCAGAATTTCATCAACTGTTTGTTCCACATCCCTGAAGAGGTAGTAGACTCTAATCACCTGATATGTTTCCATAGCTCTGAGAAAGTCTTTGATCTTGTTTCTGTTACTCTATTAATGATAAAAACTGACTGTTCAATGTGGCAAGAGACAGAGAATATTTTCGATTTCTTTAAGAGCTTTCATTACTGACTTATGCAATCTGCCATCCATTTGTATGCAATCTATTTGTAGCTGCTACCAGTTTCAATCTTGCTTGGAGTAATCTTTGGGCTTGGCTCGAATTGTGTTAGAATGTTTTGAGGAGTATAAAAATGAATTCCAGTTAACATCCTGGCCGTCTAACTGATATCCTAGGCTTTGATTTACATCTAATGAATCGTGTAGCAGCATACACTACTTAACTAGTGTCATAGAAAAGTATATAGACTCAGTTTAACCTCTCTGCTCCCACAAGCCATCTGGGTATCTTTATATTGATTAAATATGGTAAATCTTTTCTCCACTTAAAAAATTCTTCCTTTACATCGTTATTCACGTGAGCATTTCATGGTTCCTTTGTCTTCTTAGTAGATTTCAATAGAACTGTAGGATATAATGTTGCAGGGCATATAAACCTTATAGGATTAAAAACTCAATTAAGAACTGACAGAATTTTTCTTTTAGTCACCCCTTCATCTTCTCTAAATTCCAAGCTTTCTGGACTATCTATAGAGTATCAGCTTTTCTATGCCATAATAGTCCCAAAATGTTGACTTGGTGGTTTCAAGTACACAAGTTTCTAAACAGCTGTATTCTCAACTTTCAAATCAAATTATGCTTCTTTCATAACCTTAGATGCTTCTCTCATAAAGGTTTCAAGTTCTTGTTTGTCTTTTACACTGGTAATGCAATTATCAACATAAAAGCTATCTTTAACCCTTTAACTGCTTAAGACGTGTTTAAACGTTTTTGGAATTTCTTTAAAAATGCTTAAGACGTGTATACACGAAGCTCGAATTTGGCGAAGATTGCTTAAGACGTGTATACACGAAGCCCGAATTTCGCGAAGATTGCTTAAGACGTGTTTAGACGACGCGATCTGGTCTTCCTTCCCCTACCTTTCTGCAGGCGGCTGTCAGTTGACACAAAGGTCTTAATAGGGTGTGAAGTCTCTTTGAAAAGAGCACTTTAGAAAAAAGTCCTTAGAGTGAAGTATCTTTGTCAGACAGCAGGTATGTATTATCTGTGTGCCGACTAAAAGTTTGCGAAAGAAGATAAATCGTTTTACAACTGTTTGCCTTGTGGTACTTTATACAAATGAAAGTCAAACAGGATCCGACGTTGTTATGGTACATTGCCGAATTTTAGTAGAAACAAGAAAAAAATAAGAATTGTAACGGAGGACGCCTTTATGTCTATATGTTATAGATTCGAATATTTTATTTTTGTATTGAAAAATGATTACAATTTCTGATTCGTCAGGAAAAAATATAAAATGTTGCAACCAGCTTTCTTGTTTGCCTTCGTATTTCAAATGCGCGTTATTATAATGGTATATTCTTCTTTTTACATTCTTAAATGTCAAAACTGTGCTTTCAGCATGCCTGAGTTTTGTACTCATATGTGTGGCTCTATGCTCCGTAGAAATGGCGAATGACAATAAAATAATAATGTAAGAGATTTCTGAAACTTAATAATGAAAAATAATACCAGTTTCAGAAATTCAAAAATTTATATTAGATTTTAAATGTTTAACAAAAAAAAATTATCTTAAAATTTATTTATGATATAAAGGGCTATCCAGAAAGTAGATTACGTTTTGGAATAAAAAAATAAACAAAGTATAGGAAACAAATTTTATTATATACAGATGAAAGCCACACTCAAATACTACTTTTCTACATAGTCACCATACAAATTAAGGCATTTATCGTAGCGATGTACGAGCTTGGAAATTCCTTCGTCGAAAAATTCGGCCGCCTGCGCCTTCAACCACTTCGTTACCCTCTTCTTGCAGCTGTGCGTCGTCATCAAAACGCTGCATAGCCAGCCACTTCTTCATTGCTGGGAATAGGTGGAAGTCGCTCGGTGCCAGGTCGGGACTGTACGGCGGATGAGGAAACAACTCCCACTTAAAAGATTCAAGAACTTTACGAGTGACATTTGCCGTGTGGGGCCGGGCGTTGTCGTGAATCAACAAGATCTTAGAGCTCAACATTCCTCTGCGCTTGTTTTGAATTGCTCTTCTGAGTTTTTGGAGAGTTTGGCAATACCTTTGAGAGTTTATTGTAGTGCCTCTTTCCAGGAAGTCCACCAAAATTACACACCTTTTCTGTCCCAAAAAAACAGTCGCCATCATCTTCCTTGCCGACATTGTTTGCATGCATTTCTTGGGTTTTTGGGGAGAACTTGTGTGCCCCCACTGCATTGATTGCAATTTCGTTTCACAGTTCACATGTTTCACCCATGTTTCGTCACCAGTAACGATGCGATCGAGTAAAGAGTCACCATCCTTATGGTAAGCGTCCAAAAAGTTCAACGCTGCAGCCATTCGCTGATTTTTGTGGTCCTCTGTCAAGATTTTTGGAATCCATCTTGCACAAAACTTGTGGTAACCAAGCTTTTCGCTGATGATTTCGTGCAACAAACTTCGCGAAATTTGTGGAAAACTCAAAGAAAGTTCCGTTATTGTGAAATTTCGATTTTCACGGACTTTAGCATCGACTTTTTCGAGAAGTTCGGCGGTCACTATGCTGGGTCTCCCACTTCGATCTTCGTCGTGAACATTGGTTCGGCCATTTTGAAATCTTATGACCCACTGACGCACTCCACCTTCAGTGATAATGTTGTCCCCATACACTTCACGAAGCTGCCGATAGATTTCTATCGGTTTACAGTTTTTTGCAGTCAGAAACCTTATTACTGAGCGCACCTCGCAGCTCGCGGGATTTTCAATTAACGCAGACATTTCAAACCGTCACAGTATCTGAACGGAGCACAGCACGAACCTCTCACTAGCACGGCTAGATGCAGACTGAGCTGCGCAACGCTCTGACCCCAAGATGGCCGCGCTAGCCCCGCCCCTAGCGGACACAGACGGAAACGTAATCTACTTCCTGGATGGCCCTCGTATTGACTTTAAGTCAAGTTTGGACTTTGAATTTTTTTAAAATTTCACCATCCAAAAAAAATTTTTTAAGCAATGTCTTCGAATTTTTATTTCACAAATGAACGAAGTAGCGGTAAAATCGTTGAATACTAATAGTTTGAAGCGGGTTCAAATCCTGACGAATGGATTGCCTGCATACCAGTTTTAGCGAATTTTTGCTGCCCATGTTTAATGTGAATATGAGCCAATTTTAGTTAGCTTTTCATGATGACGGGCCTTGACTACGAGTCCTCGCTCGGGTTATGTTTGGTTTGGCTTGTTAGATTATTAAGCACGTGAAGGCGATCTGTCTAAGGGGAAGTATGCTTTTGTGACAGATTTTCTAAGGGAAACAATCTCGCACTACAAAATTAAAAGGTAAAACCATAAAAACGCCCATGCAATCAGCTTGTTCACGGGGGGTTTGAATGCAGGTCAAACTACCAGTATGTTAAGAGAAGTGATTTCAAGAATGTTTAATTATTTTATTTAGTTTGTCATAAGCTAAATAAAATAATTAAACATTCTTGAAATCTCTT